AGGCGCTCTAACATAAGCTCCAATTGGGATGTGTTCTTCCTCCGGGGTGACCCTAGCAAACCTTTCAGATCTCCTTGAAGACATGATACCTACAAGAGAGATGTGGTCTAATTTAGTCGTTTGATTACCTCTTGTTCCTTCCGTCTAAGCTTAAAAGTGTTTATGCAAACACTTAATCTGCTTAAACATCTATCTGATACCAACTTGTAACACCCCAATTTTCAAATATCGATTAAATGAAAAATAATAATTCCAACTTCTCCCAAGATCAGAACCTACTTATAGACTAAACTACATCGGAAGAAAAATAAAATAAAATAAAGTCTTCAATTGAACAACTTCGGGTGTTACGTCTTTGCGGAATTCCTATGTCGTCTCTGGATCAATCATTCTCCTTGAACTTTTCTCAACCACTTGCTAAATAGTTTCCTAGGTTGCGCACATTTAAAGTTTCTAAAAGGGGTAAGCCTAGGGCCTAGTGAGTTCGTGTTGCACATACATGTCTATCACATAAAAAAAACAAATAGTTTTATCATATAGTTTCAATAAATCATACAACAAACATATCACCTGATGACATAATTTAGGGGGGCGATTAATTATCCAAAGAAAGAACCAAAAGTTCATTTCTCTTCTCCTTGAGACAACTCATCATCCATTGTACTCAAGTATTTTAAATATCCAAGGAAACGAGTATGATTCTCAATTCTCATTCACGCCGATCACACACATATGTCATGCTCACGACGATTAAACACCACTCGTTCCCGCTAAACATGTCATCCAAAAACACATACAGTAGATAACAAATCCAAAATAACATTTGTACACAACCATACTTATCATAAAACATATTGTCAATAAATAAATAAAAATCACATAATAAACGCATGCCAAACATTTATGTGCGAGCAACCACAAAACACGAAAAAAAAACTCACCTCGTTGTCGTTATGTCGTAACCGAAGCTTACCACGATACCCGCATCCTACATTTTACCAACAATTTTTCTAAGACTATGATCCTAGAAAGCATCTTATGTGTCCATTTTGGTTCCACTATCTATATGTCTCGTTCGGCCAACTAATGATTATTTATTTACGTTAATTAATTACAACGATTTGTAATGAAGGGACCATTTTGTAATTTCAGTTATCATATAATATGTAACGTATTTGCTAAACTTTTTTTTTTTACTATAAAATTATATTAGCCAGCCTATCAACAATGAAGGGACCATTTATGCAAATATCATTTTAATTCAATTGAAACACTTTTGAAATTGACGCTTGAAAAAGAAAAACGCGCACATTCTTCTGCGGGGATTCAAATTGTATAAATTTGATAGCTTTAAAAAGAACATCAGGTTATAAAAGTTTCATGGATACTTTTGTAATTACTGTTTTTGTGTAGGTAGGCGGCAAGGATAAAACGAATATATTCCACACACCACTTTTGTTTTACTATTTAAATTTCTTATTTTCTTTTTAAATACTACCCCGACTAAACTCACCCATCGAATTAATACCGGACCCTTTCTTCCTTACCCAAAAATCCTCATTTTCTGCCATTTTTAAATATCATGGAGCTTCGAAAATAACGTCAAATAAATAACTAAAATCACCATTAGTCATCTCCACTTCATTCTAACATACATTCATAAATATTTTTTTCAGAAATAAACTCAAATCAACTTGAATTCAAGTTTTTTACCAAAAATCAAAACACTTCAAAATCATCATCAATTAAACTCCTAATGGCCTGAATAGAGACATTAAATGGAACCAAAACACGAAGTATAGATGTATAAACCTAATGAAAGGACTATACCAAGCTAAATTCAAAGAATCATACCTTAATTTGCTAGAAAGCTCCGAAAATCTTCCTAATCTCCTATCTCCGATTTCTCTCTAGTTTTCTCGCCTTTTTTCACAATTTCACTGGGTTTTCTGCTCGATTTCTCAAGCTCTTTATAATGGCTAAGGCCTTGGACGTTATAAACCTTTCAAATGCTCGAATGTATTTTGCCAATCAAGATGACGATTTTAGGGTTTAAAACTCATTATTTTTCCTAATTAAACCCAATTACTCCCAATTAACCCCCATTATATTATTTTAATAATATAGTTAAACTGTATATATATTTATACATTTTTTTTTTAATTTGAGTTATCATAATTATGGATCTTAAAAAAAAAAACATTCATTTTGTGGTGCTCAGTTCTAGGGGTGAGAAAAAATTGAACTGCAAATAAAGAAAACCAAAAAACCCTATAAACCGAAGCCAATAAAATAAAATCGAAACAAAAACCAATGATGCGGTTTTTAATTTTGCAAAACCAAAGTTTTTCAGTGCGGTGCGGTTTTTATTTTTGTAAAAAACGAAAATAAACGAACCTCATCGAAAGAAAACATTTTCAGCTCCTTCTTTTGTGCTTATTAAAGTTATGCATTCATTTTTCACTATGAGAGTATCCTAGATATTATCCATAAAAATGCCTTTATTATTGAATCATCGAACTACGTTTGCTTAAGATATAAAGATTACACGTCTTCATATTTTTCTACCTGGTTCATCAGATACAAATTTCATTAAAATCTTTGCATATGACAAAATGGAAGAATAACCGTACAAAAACCCCCCACAGGGTTAAAAACCGCACCGCTGCCACAAGAAACCAGACAACAATACCGCATCGTTCGGTTTCTTTATTGGAAAACCCGTATTTGTGATTTACGGTTCAGTTTGAACCAATAACACACCAAACCGCATCATACTCACCCTACTCAGTTGTTCGTTTGAAAACGATGGCATGCCCATTTCAAATCTTAGTCACGTAACCACCATCTCTTTTGGCCTCAATATATAATTCTTGTATTATATTTTAATATTCTGATTAATTAATTAAACTATAAACATTTAATTAATTTTTTTGTTGCATGAAAGATGTGCGGGCTAAACTATCTCTTGTGGTTCGAGTATCGCATAAATCCAAGGATCTTTATTTTAGTTTTTAATTTTTTAAAAATGTATATTAAATATTAAATAATCAGAAATATATATTATGGGTTGGTTTTTGGGTTTGTATAAGTTTCTACAAAAATGGGTCGGTTCGGTTTTAGAGGGTACCAAAACTAAATTTTCTGTTTTGAAATCTTGAACCTAAACCGACGATTTCATCCATTTTTATAAAATTTTTTGATTTCCTTCGGTTTTCCTCATCCCTACTTTTTGCCCATATGGAGTTTTACTCAATTTCAACTTTTTTTTAGCTTAAAGATGTCAAAACAAAAACACAAGACTATCAAAGAAGAAATTGAACCTAAAAAGTTATCCATTTTATTGAAAGTGTGTGTTTGTTAGATGTAAGAATATGTGTAAAGTGTATGTATATATAGAAAGATTAATTTAAAATTTGAAAGAATTTTTTTTATTGTTTCCAATTGCTCCAAACGGTTAAAAAAGAAGTCAGCTAATAGCAAGCCTCGTCTTCGTCCGTCTTCATAGAGAGTTAGAGACTCCACAACCAAGCCTGGTGGGCAGTGTTCACGCCTCTCTTGGCCTGCCAGCTTGGAAGTCGCACGTCTTCTACTATCCCATACCGGATAGCCTAAGAGGGTGTTTGGGATTGTTTTTTAATCTAAAAAGTTCTTTTTGACAAAATGACTTTTTGACTTATGACTTTTTAAAAAGAAGTTTTTAAAATGTGTTTGGATTAACTTTTGAGAAGACAAAAGCCAAAAAACCAAAAGTTACTAAAAGTGATCAATTCTTGACTTCTAAAACAACTCATTTTCCTTCCTGCCAAAAAGTCAATGTAAGAGGGTGTTTGGCTTAACTTTTGAGGGGCAAAAGTCCTTTTTGTAAAATGACTTTTTATAAAAGTTGTTTTTTAAAATATATTTGGATTAGCTTTTGAGGAGAAAAAGTCAAAAGTTATTTTTAAAAAGTGTTTGGTTTAACTTTTACATGTAAAATGACATACTTATATATTTGCATTGATTAGGGTAGCTAGTATAAAGGTAATTTAAGTTTTGGTTGAAAAGTTACAAAAGTCACGTTTAGGTGACTTTTCAAAAGACTCAATTTCCTTCTATTTAAAAAGTTGATTGTAAAAGTCCTTTTCATTTTACCAAACATTTTTTACCTTCTTTTTAGCTTTTAGGAAAAGATAAAAGTTAAAAGTCATTTTAAAAGATAAAACAAACACCCTCTAAAAGGACTTTTAAAATTGTGAAACATCTTTTTAAGCTTTTGCCTTTTAAAAAAAAAGAAATTAAATATCCTTTTAGATTTTATTCTTATTTATTCTCACAATCTGACATATCAAACATACATATTGTCATATTTAATAAAATTGTCCACATATATTTAATAAAATTATATATAACATAAAAGCTTAAAATGTTGGGGAACAGTATACTTTTTTCTCTTTCATAATCCGACATTCGACTTTTCCCTCTTTATTTTTTTTTGACACTGATTTTTCATTCTGCTTCTTTTCTCTACGCATCTCAATCTCTTTTCTTCCGGTTACCGGTAAAGGACAGTTGACAGAAGAAAGAAGAGAGATGAGCTACTATCACTCAAGAACTAGAAGAAGGAAAGAAAGAGATTCACTTCGCCAGCCTTGAACTCCTCTTTCTTGGATCGTTGTTTGCGACAGACCGATTGAGTCTTCTTATCTTCTATTTTTGCCATTGCCGCCCTCCAGTAGCATTTCTTTCGCTTTTGCTTATTTCATCTTTCTTTCTTCCTCTTCCGGATCCCACCGCCTCATCTCTCTTCCTCCACTCAGAGTGTCGTTCTAACTCGTCTTTCGATCTTTCTTCTTCGCACCAATTCTCCGTCTCCTTCCAGCTTTCTCCCTTTAATCCCTTTTCGTCTTCTTCTCCCAAAAATCTATTTGTGTCTTCGAGTCCCAGAGGCGGAGAGAGAGAGAGAGAGCGAGTGAGAGAGAGACATCGTAAATAAAGTTTGGGGGTATTTGTTCTTGTGGATGGTACAAACTAAGAGGTTTGATTTTTCTCATAAAGGTTATTTGTTTTCTGTTCGCTTTTTCTGAATCTCATCTCGGCGCTGGTGGTGGTGGTCATATGGATAAATCATGTTCTGTATCCTTATTCCTTCCCTATTATTTTTACAGATTCCCCAGTTCAATTATGAAGTTCTTCAAGGTAAGGCTTTGCTAAAAGTAAGTTAATTCATCATACCATTCATTACTTATGTTTGTTGCGAGTTCTACCTGTCAAGGATATATTTCAACCTATGAGAGCTTATTTGGCTTCGTATAGTTCTTCAACCAATATCGCCTTAATGGAACCTGTCATCTTCAAATTGGTTAGCGTAGTTGTGGCTTCAAAGAGAAAAGAAGTAAATTCGAAGCGATAGTCCATTTCTCAAACCCAGTTTTGAACTCTTATTGTTTTGTTAAGTTTTAATCTTTTTTTTTCAGGTGACTTTCAGCTGTTCGACGTCTACACCACAGACGATTTGCGATTTGCAGATAAGCAGACTTTCATTTCGGATTTTAACGAAGCTATTGTTCGATTTCAGTATAATTTGGATTTTGTTTTTTTCATTCTTTATTGTGAAATTTGAAAGTGAGTTTGATGATGCACACCAAGTGCCCGATGAAATGTTACAACCAAATGTTAATGTTTCCTACATCTGTTGTACTCTGTGAATGCAAGAATTTCCAAGCACTATGATCTTGTCGATCTGTTACTGTGTCCCTGGTAAATATGTGGAATTGAGATAAAGCATTGGTGGTTTTCAGGTAATTTTATTTCATTTTTTTTACTGAATCTTTACACTTTTATTCACTCCATTTATTGATAATTATCTGCTTTTGTATTATTGACAGTGCTGATTGGAGATGTGTTGTTGACAACCTTTTAACCAAAAAGAGGTGCTGCAAAGGCTTCAACAATTAAACTATATACTCAATCATCAACTACACATGATTCTCTCCAAACGAATCCTTTTGAATGAGGGTAAAACGGTAATTAGTTAGCTATTTTATAAATACATCAAATTTTATTTCTTTTTAACTACAATGTATAAGCCACTAACAATGATGTGTTTTTGATTTTTAAGGTTTATTATTATTATTATTATTATTATTTGTTGATGCTCCCTGTTACACGTGGACAACACTGTCCTGTAAAGCAATCACAAACTTATCTGGTATTCTAAAATCAAGAAAAAGACCAACTTGAGTTGTTTCTTATTGATAGTGTTTTTGTTTTATGACAGACCTTATTCATTCTCCCCTTGGGCAATTACCACTAACCATTGAAGACCGTATGCAAACATTCTCAAGATACAGGAACAAGAAAACAAAGAGGAATTTTGGCAGAAAAATCAAGGTATTATATATTACGTTATCACATATTTTAGATTCTTAATGCACATTTCTTGACGGGTTACCAAGATTATTTTTAGAAAAACTTTGCATCTTTAACATTATTATTTTTTTCTTTCCAGTATGCTTGCGCGAAGGCTTTGGGGGACGGTCCGCATACAAGGATTTTGCTAAGAGGTAAAAGGAAAATAAAATAATTATAAATCCCAATAATTATTTGTGAAAGTGAAATGATTAGGTACTTGACTCGCAAATCCCTTAACAGAAGTATTCCAGCATGGATCAATAGTGGAGATACTGCATAGTACGTTTTCTGTTTTCCTTTTCTCATTTCAGAAATAGTTTTTCATGTGACATAATTTGATGTGGTAGATGCATGGTTGTAGAGTTGGTTATATACGTACAATCTGTAAATTTGACCTGAAAATGTTCCTCTTAATATGTAATTTTACTTAGAAAAGTTATATAATTCATGAACGTTGATATGTGGTTTATTGACAACAAATGGAGCAGTATGATAGAAGACACAATGACTCTAGGAGCCGAAGCCCTGCCGTGGATGGACAATGTGGTATGTGAAATTACTAGGTGTACTATTTGTATTCCAAATAGTCAAAAAAAGTTCTTTTATCACTTAAAAAAATTATTTACTCAAAAAAGAAAAAATTTTAATTGGCAGAATATCTAAAATAGACTTATGATTAATAAAATGAGCTGGTGGGACAGAAAATGAAGAGAAGGGTAAAATTGTCCAAATGATAAGAAAACCAATTATAAACCTCTCCATTCCCTAAGATCAAAGTAGGATGCCTTAATATGACCATTTGAGAAGTACAATGCAATATTTTAGTTTCAGAATTTTTTTTTTAAAAACAAATCTTTTTAGTATTCTAAAGTTTATTGTTATTATTATAGTAATGAACTATTAAAAAGGGGAAGGTCATTGTTATTTTAAGGGGTTTGTTTGTTAATCTCACATATTTCTTTTTGTAAAGTTTATGTTGAAGGGTGTTGAAACAAAAAAAAACAGATGTTGTTCTTGGATGTTATTTGTTGGCAGAACATCCACCAGAAGCCATAGATACAGATGACGGTTGCAAATTTAAGGTTTGATAAAATATCCATGAAAATACATTTTTGATGCTTTCATCAAATACATCTTTAGGATGGTATTCTGACCTCCACACCTGGACGGAGTGGTGACTTTGAGAGGTAGAGAGATTTTAAGCCTAAGCAGAGACCTTGCTTGGCTCTCTCCTATCGATTATGCCTGATCTGATATGGTTACTTATTTGCTACAGTTTCAAATAATGAAAAAAAGGGTACACAGCGCCTTTCGCGCATCTAATTCCACCTAGTTGATAATAAATGAACAAAATTCAAAAAATGGGAAAAGTAATCTCAAACACCCGGTGACTATAGGCCATTTGATTAGAAATTTTTATTAGTAAAATAATCTGCACATGAAGACTCATCGATTAATGGTGACGAGATTCCAAATATTTTGAAAACCACGTAAACTGGATTACTCTACAATACGCGATCACTGATTAGTGATGCTAGTAGTTATGCTAATCCACGCTTATGCTTCTACGTCTCTTTTGAAATCAAAAGTCAAAACCCTCTACAAACTGAATTGCAATGGCAGAAATCGTTGTTAGCGCTGCCATCACCGTCCTGTGTGATCTCTACTGACTTGTTGAAGCTCGGTCGATCCGAAGGAATCGATTCTCAGTTAAACAAATGGAAGAAAACCTTGCCCTTGATCCAAGCCGTGCTGGATGATGCAGGCCAGAAACAGATAGCAGACAGAGCTGTTCAATTGTGGGTGAACGATCTCCACAATTTGGCTTACGACATTGATGATGTACTCGATGATTTGGCCACCGAAGCCGGTCGACGCAAGTTGAATCATGAATCTCATGCCAGCACCAGCAGTAATAAGGTATTGAAGATCATCCCTACTTGTTGTACTAATTTCACTCCTCGCAACATTATGTATGGTCGTTTGATGAGTTCTAAGCTCGATGAGATTTCCAACAAATTGCGTGATCTTGTTGACCAGAAAATTAATCTCGGTTTGAATGTGAATGTGAATGCTGAAAGGCCGAATAGAGTAGAGAGACGATTAGGGCAAACTTCACTGGTTGATGAGTCCAAAATCATGGGTCGGGAAGGGGATAAAGAGGCATTGCTGAAGAAGTTGTTGAGGAATGAAAGATTCGATCAAAATGTTGGCATAGTCTCCATAGTTGGTCTGGGTGGGATAGGCAAAACCACTCTTGCCAAAGTTGTGTACAACCATGAGAAAGTGAAAGATGAGTTTGAATTCAGGATATGGGTTTGTGTTTCTGGTGAGTTTGATGTTCTTGATATTAGCAAGGCGATTCTTGAAGCTGTAAGTGGGGAGGAAAAAAGATCTTCCAATCTAGATCTGATTCATGTGGTCCTCAAAGAAAAACTCCTAAAGAAAAAGTTCCTACTTGTTCTTGATGATGTATGGAATGAAGATGAGAGTAAGTGGGAGCTTCTACAAAGCCCTCTTGTTGTAGGGGCACCTGGAAGTAAAATCATGGTCACAACCCAGAATACACGGGTTGTGACCATGATGGACTCTGATGAAATTTATCATCTAGGCGTATTGTCAAATGAAGATGCTTTGTCTCTATTTGCTCAAAATGCACTAGGTGAAAAGAACTTTGACAAACATCCAACACTTAAACTCCATGGTGAAGGTATCATGAAGAAATGTGGTAGATTGCCATTGGCTTTGAAAACACTTGGAAGAGTCTTGAAGTCAACAAGAAATGTTGATGAATGGGAGAAGTTGTTGAATAGTGAGATATGGGATATAGAGGATGGAAGTGAGATTCTTCCAGCTTTAAAACTAAGCTACTATCACCTCCCTCCACATTTGAAGCAGTTGTTTGCATACTGCTCTTTATTTCCCAAAGACTACGTATTTGACAAGAATGAGTTAGTCCTACTGTGGATGGCAGAAGGGTTTTTATCCCAATCAAAGGGCAACAATTCAATGGAGAGTTTAGGTCATCATTATTTTGAAAAGCTAAAGTCAAGGTCGTTTTTTCAAACTTCAACTAATGATGAATTAAGATATACAATGCATGGTCTGATAAATGATTTGGCCACGAGTGTTGCAGGAGAGTTTTTCTTTAGATTTGATGAATTAAGATACACAAATGAAACATTTAAAAAGTTCCGTTTGCGTCACTTTTCATTTATAAATCTACAATCGTATGCAGAACTCAAGAAATTAAAAAAAGCTTCTGGCTTGAGAACTTTCTTACCAATGTCAACTAGTTTTTTGCACGATGTTCTTGATGAATTACTTCCTAAACTAGAGTATCTAAGGGTGTTAAGCCTAGCCAATCAGATAACCAAAGGGGTACCAAATACGGTTGGTAGTCTTAAACATCTAAGGTACCTAAATTTTTCTTATTGTGGAATCTCCAATTTACCTGAACAAATCACTGATCTTTACAATCTACAAAGCTTGTTGCTTCGTGGTTGTTTTCGATTATCTTGCTTGCCAAAAGGTTTTATAAAGTTAATAAACCTTCGACATCTTGACATGAGCGATACTCCAATGTTGACCAAAATGCCCTTAGGATTGGTGGATTGACTAGTCTACAAACTCTAACCAAGGTTATTATCGAAGAAACCAATACGTTCAAAATATCTGAGCTTAAGGGCCTATCGGATCTTCAAGGTCGACTTTCCATTATGGGGCTTGACAAAGTGATTCATCCAATACAAGCAAAGGATGCAAGCTTACATCAAAAGAAAGGTCTTGATGTTTTGGAATTGGTGTATAGTGATGTGTTTGATGAATCTCGGAATGAGATGATTGAATATGAAGTACTTAAAGAACTAACCCCTCATCATAACTTGAAAAATTTAAAGATTTTGTTCTTCATGGGAATGAGATTTCCTAGTTGGGTTGGTGATCCTGTATTTGATCAGTTAACAGATGTTACGTTATGTGGTTGTACATGTTCACATTTACCAACACTTGGACATCTAAATTCACTTAAGAAGTTAATTGTTCAAAAGATGAATGAACTCAAGACAATTGGTCTTGAGTTACTTACACCTACTAATTCTAATTCTTTCGTTCACATTGCATTTCCATCACTTGAAGTTTTGAAGTTTCTTGACATGCAAAATTGGGAGAAATGGTCAACTTTTGGGGACAAGGACAACAATGATGAAATTTCTAGATCATTGTTTCCTCGTCTTCATAAGATTTTCATCAAACATTGTCCTAAACTGACTCAAGTGTCAATTGGATTGATACCATCACTTCGAGTTTTACATATAAAAGAATGCTCCGAAATGGTGTTAAGAAGCATGGTTGGTGTGTCTACATCACTTGTTGCATTGAAAATGTGGAAGGTTAAATGACTTACTCAACTACATGAAGTTGATTTAATGCATCTTGGAGCACTTGAGAATCTATATATTGATGGATGTGATGAATTGATGTACTTGTGGGAACAAAAAACGGAGGCGTGCAAGAGTTTTGTGAGTTTAAAAAAGTTGGAAATTCGTAATTGTAAAAAATTAGTATCATTATCATTATCATTAGTAGAGAAAGAGAGAGAGAAAGAGAAAGAAAGAGAGAGAGGTTAATTTGGGGAATACTATTACTAATAGCATGAAATCTCTTAAAGAAGTGATATTTCGTAATTGTGACACACTCGAGAATTACAATTGCCTAAATAGTGTTGAGAGATTAGTGATAAGTTGTTGTCATTCATTGACCTTCTCATCTTCTTTCACCAAAACAATAAGCAATGATTGTGTGTTTTGCCTAACATCTCTTGACATCAGTAATTGCAAGAATCTAAAGTCATTTCCTTATGAGCATTTCCAAAGTCTCACATCTTTGGAACAACTATCAATATATGATTGTCAAAGTATAGACTACTCCTTTCCTTGTGGGTTGTGGCCTCCTAATTTAAGTAGCCTAGTTATAGGATGCTTAAACAAGCCAATGTCCGAGTGGAGCCCACAGAATTTTCCAACTTCACTTGTTGAACTACACTTAAATGGAAAAAATTCAGGAGTGGTTTCGTTTGTAGTGGAAAAAGACGTGAAGAATACAACAACTACTTCATCATCATCGTCATCATTTTCTTTTCTTCTTCCAAAATCTCTAGCTTCTTTAACACTCGATGATTTTATGAATGTGGAATCACTTTCAGAGGTTTTACAACACCTCTCGTGCCTTAAACGTCTTCATATTATGTCCTGCCCGAAGCTTAGAGATCTGCCCGAGATAAGTTCCACTTCTGACCACCCATCATCATCTTTGACCATAAAGGTATGGTGGTGAAAAAGGTATGTATCTTCTTACATTATAAGTACTAAAAATTGGCTATTATTTTTAATAATATAATTAAACTAAAGTTTGTTAACGTTTAACAGCCTCAACTTTCTTCCTAGGATAACCAATCATTGCAGCAGTGAGTTGAAAAACAAGAAAAGAACCGTTTGCATAATTTGAAAGAGGCTGTAAAAGTCGGTGCTCTACCAAGGGTATTATCGTCATTTCTGCAAAGCAAAAGATGATGAGGACAAGGGTATTTACGTCTTTTACATAAACAAAAGATATTGTTCTGTTATGTCTTGTCACGTAACAAACAGTGCCTAATAAGATTCTTGATGTAGACGAGGGCATTTACGTCTTTTTCAGTTTTGGTGTTTCCATGCAAGTCATGTTGAACTTGCTGCAATGGCATTGCCTTTAACCGGAACTCAAAGTATGAAAAGAAATACAGGAAGGTGTGTGAACTGACCCTCAATCTTTTAGGTTATGGCAATATTTCACCCTAAATTTCTGTTTAATATTTCATAGTACAGAGTTTTTTTATTTTATTTTTTTTTTATTTTTTTAGCTAATTTGTGAGTTGGAAATAGGCTGTGGACATGTACAATGCAAAGAGTGACAAGAAACGGAAAAATTAGCAAGGGGACTCCGTATCGACCTCAAGTAAATTGAAAGTGAAGAAAAGCCCATACAAAAATAAAAATAAAAATGCATCTTTTAGAAATCTTCAAGTAAATAAAAATCAATATAAACACATTTTGTAATTATGTTTATTGATTTGAGTTACTTTTTTTTGGGAGGCGTTACAATATAAATCAATATGATCCTATATTTACAACATTTCATCTCAGAATCCGAACCCACGCCCGAACCACCTAAACTTGATATATATATATATATATATATATATATATATATATATATATATATGGAAAAGTGAATATACCTAACAACCCTATATAAGTTTATATACCTAACCTTTAAACTACAATGTGATTATTTGTTTATTTACACTTAATATATCCCACATAAATCGTCTCCGAACAAAATCAAATATTAAATCAATAAAACTAATGCATACAAGTTGATTAATTATTCAATTGATTAGCGATTAGCACCATTAATGCATAGTTTGATTCCTCACGTGAGGAGTAAAGATAAAGAAATAGAAAATTAATGGAACGAATGATTACACAAATGATCAAACATGAATTCCAAAATCACCATTAATGTATGATTAATGTGTATAGATGCCTAATTGGAAAATCGCATAAGTTTCTCATTTTAATTCTCACTTACGTTCGTGATAAAAGAAAATCACAGAAGTATGGTATCTTAATTCCCACTTACAGCAAGCAGCAACATTCAATTGAGCTGTCGATTAATTCGATTGAGAATAATCAGTCAAATTTTCAAGATATAATTACGTTTCTTTATATAATTAAGGAATTTATTATTTTAATTAAAATTTAGAATAATCAGATTTGTGGAAATCAACCAAAACGATGTAGTTTAAAGGTTAGGTATATAAGCTTATATAGGGTTGTTAGGTATATTCACTTTTCCATATATATATATATATATATATATATATATATATATATATATATATATATATATATATATATATATATATATATATAGGGAGTGGTTCAAATGAAAACCCAAAAAGGTTAAGAACCATAAAAACTATTTTTAAATGTTTTCATTAAGAGCATTTTGGACTAATCCAACATTTATATTGTATTAAGAAAACTTTTCCATTACTTAATTTATAACCTACTTGCCACTTGTTGTTGGTCCACCGTCGGACCGTCGTTGGACTAATTAAATTCAATGACATTTTTTTGGTTGTATTCACAGCTTAGAACAAACATTAAAACTTTCGATTCTTTGGAAATACTTTGTATTTTTCTAGCTAAAATATACAAAATTTAAGTAAAAAAATAGAATTATGCCTTGATAAATTCATTTTTTTTTCTAAATTGTAGATATCTTTATAAAATATATATTGTGTATAATGGTATTCACACTTTAAAATACATTATTCACAGTTTAATAAATATACTAATTCACTAATACGTAACTTAATATTTGCATGCATACCTTCATTCATATTTGAATATAAAATTTATATAAAATATACAACTTAATACAATCCACTTTTAGTTTAATACATAAAATTCACAACATAACATAATACAATACATTATACACTAATTCACATGTTTAAAAAAGTCAAATCTAAATTCTATTACCACCACCACCAACTACCAAATACCACCACCAGCCACATGTGTCACCGTTGCAATCATCTTTCGTTCCAACTTAGATCTGTATATAAAAAATCATTAACTTCCAGATAAAATACTATATTCACAATTTAATAAACCAATTAATTCACTTATTATGATTTTAATGCAAAATAATTATAAAAACTAATACTCTTACATATTTATACAACACAAAAAATAAATATATTCACAAGAAAATTAATACAAACATTCATACATAAATCATTCATATTTTAACACAAAATTCATTAAAAATCACCACTCAATACAATTAATTCACAGTTTAAACAAAAAATTCATAGTTTAATGTAGTCAATTTAAAGTCTTATACACAAAAATCACAGTTTAATACACAAAATTAGGAGCTTAATATAGTCAATTCACAGTTTAAACAAAAAATTCACAACTTAATGTAGTTAATTCACAGTTCAAAACACAAAAATCATAGCTTAATAAATAAAATTCACAACTTATTACAATAAATTCACAACTTAATAAACAAAAAGTATAAAATTCACAGTCATATTATCAACTTAAAACTCTTAATACAATCAATCTTAAGTTTAATACATAAAATTCAAAGATTAATACACAAAAACTATATATTCACATCCAATATTCTCAAATTAAAACTTACATTTATACGTTCATATATGGAAGCATGTCTATGTATTAAATTGTGAATTTAATATATTAATTTGTGAATAAAATTCACAGCTTAATAAATAAAAGTTTGCAATTTAATACAATATATTCATAGCTCATTTACAAGTATAATACGGTTAATTCACTGTTTAGTACCCAAAATTCACAACTTAATATAACAAATTCACAGTTTAATACACAAAAAATATACATTCACATATACCTTCGTATCTAGAGGCTAGTGCTTCTTTTAAAATTTAATTTACACAATATTTACAATTTAAACTTTATATACTTTATTCAAAATTATAGAAAATCATATCTACGCATAAATGCTTCTTTCATCTCATATTTTAAAAAAAAACACAAAATTCATAAAAAAATGCACAGTTTAATACAATCAATTCAGAGTTTAATACAATCAATTCACAGTTTAATACAGAAAATCCGCAGCTAAATACAATAAATTCATAATTTAATATACAAAAAGTATGTTTTCATAGTCTTATTCTCACTTTAAAACTTATATTTTAAGACTTTCATTCATAGTTTAATAAAATAGTTCAGGACTCTCATTTATATAATTCACAATACTAGTTCAAGACTATCATTCACAATTTAATGCAACTTAACAACTTCAAAATCATTAAGATATTTAATCAAATATTGTGCGAAGTTTACGACTAGATAATATTTCAATTATTAAATTCTACATAATTAGTCTTACTTTAATAGTTCATTTACATATATTTATATATTTACGCAACTTGTAGTATAAATTGAATTTTGTTTGTTTATGAATTATTCCTATTTCCTTAGATATGTCAGACTAGATATATGTAAACAATAAAAAAATATACCTCTTTATTGTGCTTGTGTCTTTGGAGTAAATGGAAGCAATTAAATATGGAGAATTGCAAAACCTTTACCACTCTCAGTCAAATCACCTGCACACATACTGCACACACATATAGCACATACATACACCTTTAACTTTTTGACATCTCCGTAACGTTACTGGAGAAAAATAACCCTGATTTCTCACTTCTTGTAGATCTAACCTTTTGTTTTTAACGATAACGCTTGAAAACCACATGAAATGCTTGTCAGAAAATATCTCTGTCGGAGACCAAAAAGCACACCTAGTCGTGTTAAACTCACCCGGGACGCCTAAATAGTAGTCGAAAAACATCGTCGGAAAACATCAACGGAAAAACATCGCATACTCAGACATGATTTACATTATGTTGTGATTGGTGATAGTTTAAGCAAAAACATTACTGGAAAACTCTCATGGATGTCGGTTTTTTGATAGCTGATAGCTGACAAAGGAGACGACGATGAAAAAAGTCGCCGGAGGACAAGAAGGGGAAGAGATCTGGCAGAAATCTTAGATCTGATTTCGTTGATGAGAATAGGAGGACGTGGTCCAGATCTGGTGCATTCGAGATCTACCGTATCTTAGTGAAAATCTGGTAGTTTTGGTGGCTCTCCAGAGCAGATCTAAAGAAAAGTGGTGGCTTGTCGGAGCAGACATGTCATGGAAGGAGGACACGACGACAACTATGGCGGTTCACCACAACAACGACAAAGACGAGACATCAGTGGTTCCAGATCTGAAACTACGATGACGGATTTAAGTGTTATCGCCGGTGGTCGGAGGCTGCGACGTGGAGGTGTCGTCGGCGGCGGTTCCAGTGGTGAGGTGGCCGTCGACGGTGGTGGATGTGGTGGTGTTCATCAGAGATGATTGAAGGAGGTGAGAGGATATTTATTTTGTTTCGGGAGAATAATGAAGAAATGATATCAAATCTAACATATATATATATATATATATATATATATATATATATATATATATATATATATATATAATTTCAAATGAGAACCTCTAAAGGTTAAGAACCTAAGAACCTCTAAAAAACATCACTCCATCTTTCTAACATAAACATCAGACCATTCTTTCACCTGACTTCAAACATATCTTCATTTTTGCTTCTTCTTTCATCAGATAACATCCACCATTTTGCCGTCCTTACCACCGACGACTTTGCTCCGACGACTTACCACCACCGTCTCCTATGTCGACAGCACCACCGCCACCACCATCTCCTCCGCCGACTTCTGCTACTGCCATAAATCACCACCTCCTTCTCCGATCCTTGGTGAATATCCATATCTACATCAGATCTTACTAGATCCACATCAGAAATCACCACCAGATCTACATCAGATTTGACTAGATCTACATTAGATCTGACTAGATCTACATCAGATCTCCGGTGAAACATCCATACCTGACTATATGGCCTTCTATTCGAGATTCTGACATCATCGTCGAACCTCCACATGTACCACCTCTAGATGCGTCATCACCATCGTATCTTCACTACTCCCCCAGATCTGCTTCGCCTCCATAGTTTTCTGTTATTTCGTTGTTAATGCTCGTGATTCTAGATCTAATTTCCTTCAGATCTAGTTTAAAACCTTCAAATCTGATTTCCTTCATGTTCTCCATGTTTAAAACCTTTGAAGCTTTTTTGTTTATTTGGATTTTGTTCTCCATTTTGAAGCACGTTCGCAACTGGAACTCTAGCTGCCACAAGTTCTGAAGAAATCTAACAGAGCTCCGGTAAGATTGAGACCAAATCTGAGACCGCCGTCAACCGCCACCACTTATGTTGCTTTGCCGCTCTATTAAACACTGTTAAATATCCTCCATCTATTTATCGCTGATCTCTGGTGAAACACATCAGGTATGTTGATATTTGTTTACTTTTTTTTTTCTTTCTGTTAAGTTGTGAATTTAATGTTCTAATATCTCATTTGTTGTTTACTTTTGTTAAACATAATTTTTTCTACTATTAAGTTGTTAATCCATGTTTATTATGTTTTTTTTATAATGTTTGCATCAAGTTTTTATTCACACTGTATGTTTTATTGTTGTTAAGCTGTGAATTGAATTTAAAACTATTATGTTAGTGTTTTTCTCAAATAATATGAATTTTTATTTTTTTAAGTATTGAACTGTGATGTTTTAATGTTTCAACTATTTTTTAGTTCTATTTAAGTTAGTTACTGTGAATGCGTGAATTAATATGTTTTTATGTTATAAATACAATGAATGAGAGTCTTAAACTGATTATTAAACTGTGAATGGGAGTTTTGAAAAACTCTATTAAACTGTGAATTTATGTGGTGTACACAATGTCTCTGATGAATTTTGTATACTAAATTGTGAATTGTGTATTTATTATATTAACGTATAAATATAAGTTTTAATTTGAAAATATGGTTGTAAATATAATTTTTTTGTCTTAAATTGTGAATTTATTATATTAAGCTGTGAATCTTGTATACTAAACTGTGAATTATGTATTATGTTGAGACTTTTATCCACGACTTAATATATTAAATTCACAATTTAATACATATAAATGTCTTCATATATTAACGTATAAATATAAGTTTTAATTTGAAAATATGATTGTGAATATAATTTTTTTTTTGCCTTAAATTGTGAATTTATTATATTAAGTTGTGAATTTTGTATATTAAACTGTGAATTGTTTGTATTAAGAGTTTCAAATTGATATTATTGTTGTGAATTTATATTTTTTGTATTAAACTGTAAATTAATTGTAATAAAGTGTGAATTTTACGTATTAAGCTATGATTTTTGTATTTTAAACTTTGAATTAACTGCATTAAGTTGTGAATATTTATTTAAATTGTGAAATTGACTATATTAAACTGTGATTTTTTAATATTAGATTTTGTGTTTAAAAATGTGAATTGACTGCATTAAATTATGGATTTTCTGTTTAAACTGTGAATTGACTGCATTTTGTGGTGAATTTTTTATAATTAGTGTTAAAATATGAATGATTTATGTATAAATTTTTATGTTAATTTTCTTATGAATATATTTTTTTTTGTTGTACAAATTTGTAAGAATCCACTAGTTTTTATAATTGTTTTGTATTAAATTCAAAACGAGTGAATTAATAGGCTTTATTAGACTGTGAATGTAGTATTTAAGTTGTTAATGAATGACTTTATTTATAGATCTGATTTGGAAGAAATGACGGCTACTATGTTGATACAGGTGGTTAGTGGCAGCATGTGGTGGTAGAGTTTGAGTTTTTGAATTCTTTAAATTAGTGAATTATTGTAAAACAGTCTGTATTAAGTTGTGAGTTTTTTGCATTAAACTGTAAATGTACTGTGTAAATCTGTATTTTATATAAGTTTTGTGTTAAAATATGAGAGCATATATGAATGAAAATATTAGACTGTAAAAATTATAAGTTTGCTCTTTCCGTACCAAAAACACAAAAGTTAGGATTTTAACATGTTTAATAAGAGTATCGTGTAAATATTTACTAATTAATTGGGGTTCTTAATCTTTTATGGTTCTCATTTGAACCACCCATATATATATTATATATATATATATATATATATATATATATATATATATATATATATATATATATATATATATATATATATATATATATATATAGGGAAAAGTGAATATACCCTTAAGGGTATATAAGCTTAGGTACCCAGACTCACCATACTACATCGTTTTGTATCATATATAGACATTGTAATCATCCAATGTTCTTATAATTCAACTTCTAACTTGAATTACTTCAAATATTTTTATAAATTTCATATTTATCTTCCTCTTACATAATTGTCATTTTCAACAATAATATATATAGCCTAGTAAGTGTTCGACAAAAAGATGTGATGTAAGAGGAAAATAATAGTGAAATTTTAAAAATATTGAATATAAATCAAGTTAAGGATTGAAGTTTAACAATATTATAATGAATATATCAAACAAAACGACGTATTATTATGAGTTTGGGTACGTAAGCTTATATACCCTTAAGGGTATATTCACTTTTCCCATATAGGTATATATATATATATATATATATATATATATATATATATCTATATATATATATATATATATATATATGTGTGTGTGTGTGTGTGGTGTGTGTGTGTGTGTGTGAACTGACCCTCAATCGTTTAGGTTATGGCATATTTCACCCTAAATTTCTGTTTAATATTTAATAGTGCAGTGTTTTTTTTTTTATTTTATTTATTTATTTATTTTAACTAATTTGTTAGTTGGAATAGGATATATATATATATATATATTATATATATTATAATATATATATATATATCTATATCTATATATATATTATATATCTATATAAATAATATAATATAGGAAGGTTTGTGAACTGACCCTCAATCTTTTAGGTTATGGCAATATTTTACCTTAAATTTATGTTTAATATTTCATAGTATAGTGTTTTTTATTTTATTTTATTTTATTTGTTTATTTATTTAAACTAATTTATATAATACGTATTGTATAATCATGTAAGTTGATCTTGACAATTGGATCAATGAAAATCATAATGATTTTTGACAGAATAACACACAAAATTATTAAATATTTTATTCAAATAAAATGTCTGAAAGAGTGTTATGGACATTTTATGTATTTTATTTTAGAAAATTTTAAATTTTATGAAATCTTGTTTGACTTTTTTTATGAGGATTGAACCAAATTTTAGGAAATTTACAAACACATTAATTAAAGTATTAAATTCATTTTGAAATTGTATTAAAGAATACAAAATTTCATTTTTAAAATTATAAGGAAAGAAACGTTGTCATTTTTCAAAGAATATGTTGGAACATAGAAATTTTTCACATCAAAACACAATATAAAATATACCGATTTATAACAATTCCTAAAATAATACACGTCATTTCATTCATCAAATAGCATACTTCATTCTTGAAAGAATATGCCGGAACATAGTATTTATATCAAATTTAATAAAAACTCTATTGAAGTATCATCATTCTGAAAAAGAATTACAATCTTCATCAAAGAAACATTTCATTCTTGAAAGAATACGCAATAACATGCTCCACTTTGAAAAAAATATCTTTCGTTCTTGAGAAAATACTTTTCATACTTGAAAGAATGTTGTCATTTTTTAAAGATTGTCACTTGTTCTCTTTCTCTTCGTATCAACCCAACCAAAGGCGTTATAAAAAACAAAAGTTATAAGCAATAATGGAATACGATCAGAATTAAAATGAATGATTTGATATTACTAAGTTCAGCAGTGGTTTCTTGAATAATAAACAACACACTATACATAACCAATTTTAAAAATAAAGATTTGCAATAACAAAAATTTATTGAATGATAAACAACACACTATACGTGAATTTATTATGAACTTGTCATGTATGTATGATTCAACGCATGTGTATTTACTAACGAGACTAAACTTTTTATGGTTATGAAGCTAATTAATCTCTGTAATTCATATGATAAAATGACCAAAACGAATTTTCTGAGAATACCTTTTTCCAAAACCCCCAAAAGACCAACATTAAACAAATACAAAATTATTTATATATGAATGGCTCAATTGATCATATTTCACTAAGGTGATTTAAAAGGTACTCACAAATTACATTCAGGACTTCTTCAATGCGATGCCCAGTAACCATCTCCTAGAAATGATGAACATAAAATAAAAACAATTCAAAAATGGAATTAGATATAATCGCATTCTTAAATAGAAAAGCATACGAACTCAACATCTTCATATCAGAATGATTGACCCACATTTTATCGTCGGCATGCGGTTCTTATTGTTGGAATATTTTTGTCAGTAAGATTCAAGTGCAGGGAACGCGTATTCAATTGGATAAGAAATGATGAAGATGAAGCCAATGAAGTATTGGAAATCAAAACCTAAAATCCGACCCAATAAAATTTGAACTTAAAATCGGAGATGAGACATCGATGGTGGAGAAGCGGCGATGATGGTTAGCCGGGGATAGTGGTCGCCGCTTCTTACAGGTCCGTCTTCTTGATGTTCATGGCGAAGGTGATGATGGTATGAAGATTTTGATGCTCTTGTGAATTGATTGAGTTACCATATATCTAGGCTCTAGTTACCATGATTATAGGATGTAATTTAAAATGAATTAACTGATTAATAATGTAAATTACCATTATATATATATATATATATATATATATATATATATATATATATATATATATATGGGAAAGTGAATATACCCTTAAAGGTATATAAGTTTAGGTACCCAAACCTACCATAATACATAATACATCGTTTTGTATCATATATGCATTATAATGTTCTTAAG